TCTATATATAAATATATCATTCGATGAATAGGCATGGTTTCATATTGATTTGCCGTTGTTTGCATGCGCATGCATGTATATATACAAATTAAAAAATATACTGAATTATTAACCTATATAGTTAGCTGCAGTACACTGGAGGAATCAGATGCATTTTTTTGCGCTGGCATTTTGTTCTTGGGTAAAGGCAAACATTTTCACTCTTTTGCTGGATTTGCGAATCGTCCTCTTGTCTTTTTATCCTACCTTAATTATATATGCATGCATGGATGTCGTTTCCAGAAGAAACCACATACGATGACCCTGACTAAATCAGAAGGACATGCATGAGCTTCAGGACGACTATAGAGTCAGCAGTATTGTTGTTCTGGTCCACCTAGCTAGACGACATGCTGGGCTGTATGAGCTCTATTGATCATACATATTCTGGCCCAAATGATGTAGTGTTCCATGGGCCATCAGCTTAATATGGGCGTTCAATCATTGTTGGTACTGGCCCAGATGGTTGATTGACATATTATTTGGGGATTAAGTTCACTTGACTCCCTTAATTAGTGGTCGAATCACCTAATTATTAAAACTGGTGTAATTTGACTTCCTCGGTGGTTTTTGGAGGGTAGTTTCACTGACATGGCGCCTATGGTGCGGTAGTAACCTGGTCTTCGTTCTACGTGGTGTTGACGTGGCGCTAATGTGGTATTAGAATTAAGGGGTTGTACAGATTGATGCCATTTCCAACCATACCATTTTTGATAAAGTTGCTAAAGATGTGCATACATTTATTTTTTTACCAAACCTTGGTAAGTATATAAGAAATCCTATCAAAAATTGTCAATAGGTGTCAACTTATCAAAAATTGATAAAGTTTATTTTGGCTACAATCTAAACAGCCTCTAAAGAATATGTGTGGGACTCATTTGTCATTCAATAAAAAAAATACTGTGGGACTCGCTGACATGGTGAAATCACCAGGTAAAACGCCAAGGTGAAGAGAAATGGGAGAGAAAGAGAGAGAAGGGTGAGAGGGAGGGAGGAGGAAGAAGCAGGATGACATGTGGGCCCACATGTCAGTGGGTCCCTCAAATTTTTTTAAATGTTAAATGGGTCCCACACATATTTTTTCAATTCTAATGCCACATAATCGTCATGTCAATACCACGTGGAACGAAGACTAGGTTAACACCGCTATGTCAGCGAAATTGTCCTCCAAAACTACGGAGGGAGTCAAATTGCACCAATTTTAATAGTTGTGGAGAGTCGAGATATCCGGTATTGTGGTTCAGTGATACGAATTAGATTTGGCCACTAGCTACGGGAGTTAAATTGAACTTAGTCCTTATTATTTGAGCGTCATGTTTAGCTAGTGTTTGTCATATTGTAGTGTTGATTATTTGAAGCCCAGCAATTCAATTCTATTATTAATTGCCGTCATGTTTAGCTAGTGTTTGGGCCGGCCATTAGGCAATTAAACCTAATAATCTATCTGGTCGTCTTCTTCATTATTCCATCCATCATATCTCCTGCGTGATTGTTAACCTCTGGGGGTTCCTTCCTTTGTTCGGGCATAGAATTGAATTAGAGGCAGGATCAAATCAACATGACTGACTGTATACAGTACAGAGAGATTGTTTGGAAGGTAAACATATAAGACAGGCGGCTAAAGAAAATAGGAAATCATTCGACAACTTGAGTGCGTGTTTCATCAAATAGTAATAGAAAAATCTTCATATAACAGTGACGAGTTCTAAAGAAAATTCGACAGTATATATAGAGATTGTTGATCACTCTATAGACGATATACATTTCTCAATTTGATCGACGAATCCGGCAACTAACAGAACAAACCCTAGTTGTTAACAGTTACGGATCCAGGAAATTTACGTTAAGTGTGCCTATATATTTAGGATCACTCCACTATATTTTTTTTTAAAAAAAGAAAACACCAAAGATCTGACAGCAAAATTTTAACAAATTTTGATCGAATTTTTCAAAAATTGATCAAATTGTGGTCTAGAATTCGTGAGGAAGTCTGTAATATTCAGAAGAAAAAAAACAGAAATAAGCAGTCCACTCCTGCTTCGTCCCTTGCAGTTGCAGAAACCAGTTATCAGTGAAGATGGCTGTCTAGTCCTCTACACAAAAACCGCTATCGAGCCATTCCTCTTCTTTGTTCTTCCTCCAGGCTTTCTTCTCCTGATCTGATTTCTTGGAGATTAATTACAGGATCTCCAGACAAATCATAACCACTATTATGCTCCAATATTCATCAAGAGGATTCCATTTTAGTGACATTTTACTATCATCCATGTCCATAATAATTTCATACTACATTATTTTAGTGTTTTTCCATAATTTGTGGGTATGCCGGTGCATACCCGACACCCCCGGTCCGCTCCTGGTTATTAATAATACTGTATTATTCATATTTAGCTATGTGTAAATTTAGGTTTGAAATTTTACGAGACGGTAAAACTGTGCCATTAATTAAATCTTTATTATTTCCGTAAATATCTCATTGGGAATTAAGGAAGCAGAAGCCCCCTGGGCATACGTGACACAGCAAGGGGAAAGTAAAGCGGAGAGACTTCTGAGGTTAATTAGTTGAGAAAAAATGGAGGTGAAGTGGGCGCGGCGCTCAATCATATCATGCATCACTGCATCTGCGTGCACCACATTGGAAGGCTAGGAACGAAAGCATCTCCAATCTCTCATTGCTGACCTCTTTAAATTAACCCCCTTAATTTGACCACCCTACGTACCAGCTTTCATTTCTTAATTTAATTCTCTGGCTTCTGTATTATATTGACAGTGCTCCTATATATATGTACTTTAGCGTGGTTAGTTATATATTATAACAGCACGTAATCACTGCTCAGCATGTACTTAATTTGTCCCTTGGTAGAATGATCAGCCGATGCTTTTGCACGATCAGTTCACTGTGCCATATAGGGGCTCCCATGCATCATGAACAAATTAACATGACCTTCGGTAAGGCGGTACTCTCGAAAGTCGCTATTGGGGTTGCACAAGGGATGAGTTCATCTTCTTCTCTCTTATTCCTCCTCCTCATCAACCTGTTTCTATAGGATGACTAGGAGTTTGTGGGTGGCTAGTAGCTTGCAGTTATGGTAGGACAGAGTGTCTATGTCCCGCTGTAGAGCTGTGGTGACAGGCCACACATAACAGTGATAGGCTCGGCGTTAGTTCTTTTCTCAAGTTGGTGGTTGGGAGTCGTTAGTTTCATGCTGGTGAGTTTTTCTTTTCTTTCCTAATTGTAGCCTCCTAGAGTTGTAATATTGTATATTTTTTCATGCTATATTAATATGAAGCCTCGCAGCTATCTCATGTGGTTTGTTCAAAAAAAATAACATGATCAATTGTTGTTTGTTGTGTAGTGGTCTCTCCGGTGTCACTATCGGTGATTTGACAAAGACACTCCCAATGTTGAATGGTGTAAAGATAGTCATGTCTCCAGTCTTTGCACATATATATAATACATAGAGTCAAAGTTTAAGATCAAAGGTAACCTTAATAAGCGATTGAATGCTCTATGTGATGGAAATGTGCATGACGTCTATAGTCCTTTCTAAGACTCTAAGAGTGAGTTACAAACCGCCTTTGCTACCTGTACGTTGATTGAGTTTTAGAAAAATCGTAGTTGATTGATCAATCATCAATCTGTTGTTGATCTAAGGGCTATAGCTCTATCTTGTACCTCGAGCCAAGAGGGAGACATGATAAGGAGAGGGATATGTCAGAGAGGACTCGCGACAACGTCCTGGTGGAGATGGGCGGGCGGTGGGTGGGGGTGAGATCATGTGGTTAGGTTGCAAGGGTGATAGATCTAGCAGCGTGAGCCACCCCGAGATGAAGGAGAAAACACATATGGATTTGTTGATGAAGAGGGTGATGGCAGTGATGTGGAGGGAAAGAGGACAGGGATAGGAAAGGCTTGTCCAGCCTCGCCGGTGTCAGCGCTGGCAGTGCAAAGAGGAATGCCATCACACGCGAGTCAAAGTTGGGACTTAGAACGTTGGTGGCACAAGAGACGGGATCAGGAGAGGGGGAGGCTATGTTAAAATTAGATTGTTACACAAATAACAATGTAATCTGAGCTATTTAATAAACTATATATAAAACATCAGGCAACTAATGAATGGTCAAGCCGTTATCAATTATTCTGGATGGTAACTCCCTGCCTTCGATGCAGGACGGAGTGTAGCGGGGGCCCCTGTCCGACCATCCCTTGCGATAAGAGTTTTTTTCTTTCTCAGTAACTTATATTTCCTGTATTTGTGTTTTTTGTTTCTTTTTTTTCCTTGACCCCTAGCAACGGCCCTCTGACCGTTTGCGTTGTGTAACCAAACTCTGTTGTCTTCTTCTAATATATTGACGTGCAATCATTTAGCGCGTTCGCGAGAAAAAAATGGTTTGGATGGTTAAATCTTACTAGAAACCAGAACAAGATAGGCTACGCAATTAGCAATGGATGGTTGGCATTAGGTCATCTAAGGTCAAACCGACGGAGATACATTTGCTGCATAAATAGCAACTAGCGTAATATGTGATGTGATGTACTTCCTACGTCTTATAATAAGTTTATTTTTTAGCTACTTATATTTGTCTAGAAATAAGTTAATTTTTAGAATAATTATTTGTATCGGAGTTTATGAAAGTAAAAAGTAATTGTATTTGGAGTACATAAAGTGAGGAAGTATTGAGATTTGATAAAGTAGAGGTATTTTAGTTTTTTTTTATTGGTACGTATGAGATTAGTGAAAAATAAATTTATTTGGGAAGGGATGTAGTACCTAGCTACTCTTGTACCAGCTAGATTAAGTATAAACCAAAAACAACGGGAGTAGTAGTAGTAAGAATGTAAAACGGTTCCAACATAACGCAACAACGGAACGGTTGGATATTCGGTTGGGAGGAGAAGGGAGATTCCGTTTGAGTAGGTTATAAATAGCAAGGAATACATACGTACGTTCCAAATCATCACAAAGCAAGCAATTAAGCTGGCATGGGCGGCGGCGGCGGGGAGCAGCAGCAGCTTGAGGTGCTCCACGCCCTGGACGTGGCCAAGACGCAATGGTACCATTTCACGGCCATCGTGGTGGCCGGAATGGGGTTCTTCACCGACGCCTATGACCTCTTCTGCATCTCCCTCGTCACCAAGCTGCTGGGCCGCATCTACTACCGCGTCGACGGGTCCCCGTCCCCCGGCACGCTCCCCCCGCACGTCTCCGCCTCCGTCAACGGCGTGGCCTTCGTGGGCACGCTCTCAGGGCAACTCTTCTTTGGCTGGCTGGGCGACAAGCTCGGCCGTAAGCGCGTCTATGGCATCACCCTCATGCTCATGGTGCTCTGCTCCCTCGCCTCCGCGCTCTCCTTTGGCCACACCCCGACCTCCGTCATGGCCACCCTCTGCTTCTTCCGCTTCTGGCTCGGCTTCGGCATCGGCGGCGACTACCCGCTCTCCGCCACCATCATGTCCGAGTACGCCAACAAGAAGACGCGTGGCGCCTTCATCGCCGCCGTCTTCGCGATGCAGGGCTTCGGCATCATCACCGGCGGCCTCGTCGCCATCCTCGTCTCCGCCTCCTTCAGGGCCGCCTTCCCGGCGCCTCCCTACGGCGAGGACCCCGTGGCCTCCACGCCGCCGCAGGCCGACTTCGTGTGGAGGATCATACTCATGCTGGGCGCGCTGCCGGCGGCGCTCACCTACTACTGGCGCACCAAGATGCCCGAGACGGCGCGCTACACGGCGCTCGTGGCCAACAACGCCAAGCAGGCCGCGGCCGACATGTCCAAGGTGCTGCAGGTGGTGGAGATGCGTAATATTGGTAATAATGGTGGCAGCAGGAGGCCGTTCGGGCTGTTCTCCGGCGAGTTTGTCCGGCGGCACGGGCTGCACCTGGTGGGCACGTCGGCGACGTGGTTGCTGCTGGACATTGCGTTCTACAGCCAGAACCTGTTCCAGAAGGACATATTCAGCGCGGTGGGGTGGATCCCCAAGGCGGCGACGATGAGCGCGCTGGAGGAGCTGTTCCGCATCGCGCGGGCGCAGACGCTGATCGCGCTGTGCGGGACGGTGCCCGGCTACTGGTTCACCGTCGCGCTCATCGACGTGGTGGGCCGTTTCAAGATCCAGGCCGTTGGCTTCTTCATGATGACCCTCTTCATGCTCACCCTCGCCCTGCCGTACCACCACTGGACGGCGCCGGGGAAGAACCACGTCGGCTTCCTGCTGCTCTACGGCCTCACCTTCTTCTTCGCCAACTTCGGCCCCAACTCCACCACCTTCATCGTGCCGGCGGAGATTTTCCCGGCGCGGCTGCGGGCCACGTGCCACGGCATCTCGGCGGCGTCGGGGAAGCTGGGCGCCATCGTCGGATCCTTCGGGTTCCTGTACCTGGCGCAGAGCCCCGACCGGAGCAAGACGGAGCACGGGTACCCTCCGGGCATCGGCGTCCGCAACTCGCTCTTCCTGCTCGCCGCCTGCAACCTGCTGGGCCTGCTCTTCACCTTCCTCGTGCCGGAGTCCAAGGGGAAGTCGCTGGAGGAGATGTCCGGCGACGCCGAGGCCCAGGAGGAGGCGCCGCCGCCCCTGCAAACTGTACTGTAGCGCTGTCGCCGTCTGCATATCTATCTATATATACATGCAGATATATAGCCACCATATAATATAACTGATCGATCGAGACCAGAGAAGATCGATCGAAGAAACCGCCAGTTGATATATAACTGGCCTGGCTATCCACTATATATATATATATATATATATATATATTTTGTCGTTGTCGTCGGCGACACCATGTACCTTTTCTTCTCCTTAATTAGCCTTATTGTGTTTCATGATGTGTCGATCTACTTCTAGTTCGTCGTCAACGATCCCTGCCTTTTTACAATCTTGAGCTTTTGCGCGCTTTTGACAACCGATCAAGCCTAACTATATATATAATCTCGTAGAAAATAGAATATGTCAATGCTAGCTAACTGTACATCATTATATAGGAACTGTCTAATTAATGACCTGAAAATTCACTTAGTAACATATTTTTACTCCCCCGTCCTTATTTCTAGCTATGTATCTACACATGTGTATAGCCATAAATAAGGTTTTTCTATAAAAGTAGTATTGAATTGCTAAACAATATATTTTGTCTGTGATAGTGATATCTCTTGTGCATGTAAACAATATATATACTATCCCACATTCATATTGATGCTAATGAATCTAGATAAATATATATGTCTAGATTATTCATTAGCATCAATATGAATGTGAGAAATGCTAGAATGACTTACATTGTGAAACGGAGAGAGTAGCCAATATTAACATGAAAACGTGTCCAATCAAAGCACACAGTAAATACATGCGGTGGCACCCGAAGATATGCCACTACAAGAACAATACGTGCCATCAGGTTCTGCAAGTACTACAGTGAAAGTTCCAGGAGAGAACCCATCAGGGCAAGTGCGTGTCGATGTGCTATAGGTTGGCTGACAGGGCCTACGGCACCCTTTTACATCGCACAAACGAAATACCAATATCAATTTGGGGTTGGAAGGGTTAAGGGGGATATGGATTATAAAAAAAAAAAGTACTCCCTCCCTTTCATATTAGAAGACTTTTTAGCATTGCCCACATTTATATAGATGTTTATGAATCTAGACACATATATAGATTCATTAACATCTATATGAATATAGGCAATGCTAGAAAATATATGAAACTGAGGAAGTAATGGTTTGGTGTTGTTCTAATGCTTCCAATATGAAACAAAACTTTACCCAGAAATTCCAGGTAGATCTCTCTTTCATGGAAGTTTTGGTTCCCAACCCAAAAGTTTCAGGATATTTAGGAGGTCAAAATCTACCCATAGTGCCAACTTTTGGTGTAAACGGTCACCACCAGTGTGTTATAGGCTGTTGTTATTTACACTATAGAGTAAATTATATCCACGGTACAACAATTTGGCGGGTGGGTGCGATATAGTGCAATAACTTGAAAATTAAACGTTCAAGTGCAACAACTTGACAAGTAGGTGCGTTCTAGTACAAGAACTTGACAAATTAGTATTTTGATGCATCAACTTAGCTAAGCATATGCTAGGTGAGTTTTTTTTTTCACGATGTCAATATGCCATTACATAGCAGTCCTACGGATATTACTTTACAATATTGAATTTAATCTTTAAGATTTATACTGCACATTCAATTTACATCCAATTATCTTTAAGAATTTTTGTTTTCTGTACCTTCCCAAATCTCGACCGAAATATAATAATTTCTACATCCAGTTTAATTGATTTTCAGTTATTAGTTATTAGGATAAAAATATAAATATGCTTATATACAAACCCACGCTAGTATATTGTCAAAATAAATACTTAAAAATTAAATATGTATTTAAAAAGTGCTCCAAATAATTAAGTTGTCGCATAACTTCTTAACTTATTGTAACAAAATCGTACATATCTTGCAAGTTGTTACATTTATGCGATCACTTATAAAGTTCTTGTCCTGAATTGCACTTACCTGCCAAGTTATTGCACTAGAACGCTCATTTCTCAAGTTCTTGCATCAAATTGCACCAACCTACAAAGTTGATGTACCGTGGGTGCAATTTACTCTACACTATAAATATGCTAAATATATCTATTATTTCTTTTAAAAAATATACTTCCTCCGTCTTGTAAAAAATCAATTTCTGGGGATGAATCTGGTTGTCTTTTTCTTTTGGACTGAAGGTATATTGGCTTATACTAAAAAGAGTTCTTAATTATTAATTTTAAAGTTTGGAATTAAATTAATGACATTCTAAATCGAGAGTGCAAAACAAATACAACTTCATATTATATTAATTATAAATTTTGAAATTATTAAATTTGGAAAACTAAAAAAATAAAAGAATGTGATATTTACAATTTTTTAGATAATGATGTGATATTTACAATTACATGTTTTACAATAGTATCCATGATAGTAAGTTTGACCTAATCAAAGGCTAGATTTAAAAACATGTAGGAGCTCTGGCAAAGTGTCTAATTAATACAAAGTGTAGATTCGGGACATCAATTATATAGAGAGGGTACAATTTCACGTTGGACTATGCCCTTTGACCAAAGTTCTAATGGGAAAGGGCGTGTTCGAAAGAAAAGGTTTGAGAATGGTTTGGGAATTTTTCTCTCGCGCACAGAAAACAGGATGACTCATTAGCGTATGATTAATTAAATACTAGCTTAAAAAAACTTGAAAAAAAATATTAATACGATTTTTAAAATAACTTTTCCATAGGAACTATTTTTGCAAAAGAAAAATACAGTTTAGTAGTTTAAAAAATATACGCGTGAAAAACAAGAAAGTAATATTAGGAACATTGTAGTATAGACCACACCCTAAGCCAACGTGCAGGGGCAGTATAAACATATTACATATATATGGTGGTGGATGAACTAGATATGTGTATAGGGTGGGAAGCGTATAATCTTCAAGGGACAACCTTGACCATCAAGATTGGCCATGCAGAAAAATGATGTAAAGCAATTCTTGTGCTGTGTTATTAGCTTGTTGTGCATAAGTCAAATTGAAGGCAAGGGATCATGCTCTTACTGCTTGGGAATATGCCGGCCGGGGAGAAGGGAGAAGGAAGGAAAAGATACATCTTTCTAAAAAGTGATTCAGATATTATATATTGCTCAGTGTAGCGTGTTGCTCCACTGGAATGTTCCTATAGTGGCTTAATTGGGGCTACCTAGTACAATATATACAGGAGGAGGAGGAGGAGAACTAGATTAATGAATGATGATCCAATGTGGCCGGTAGTGCATCTTCGATTCACTCACTACATGCTGTCGTTCATGTTAGATGTATACTCTCTTCGTTTACTTGTGCGTCTCTATTCTCAGATGCATGTCTTCATGCCATAGGTAGTTTGCACACTTCATCGTAACTGTCGCTTCGAATTAAGAGCCTACTTGGATCATTTAGTTTTCGAACTAAAATTAGTCTCTGGACCAAAAACTTTAGTCCCCTACTATTTGGATCCAGGGACTAAAATGTACTAAACGCACGTGGACCAAGAGAGAAGAGAAAGACTGCCACTTTAGTCACTATAAGTACCTCCAAGAGGGACTAATGGATTTTAGTCATCCCTGTTTGGATTCTTAGGAACTAAAGGTGACTAAAATGGAGGGACTAATGGATTAGTCCTATAAACCGAACAAGGCCTAATTTGTCTTTGTGCCATGTGTAGTTTGCACACTTCGTCATAACTGTCGCTTCCTACAGAAGTACCTCTAAGAGTGACTAATGGATTTTAGTCCCAATATACACTTAGTCTATTTTAGTCATCCCAATTTGGATTTTTAGGAACTAAAAGTGACTAAAATGGAGGGACTAATGGATTAGTCCTATGAACCGAATCGGGCCTAACTTGTCTTCGTGCCATGTGTAGTTTGCACATTTAACTTGTCTTCGCGCCATGTGTAGTTTACACATTTCGTCGTAACTGTCGCTTCCTTAGGAATTAACTTGTCTCCTTTCTTTTTTTTATTACCTAAAATTTTATGATAATTAAACTTGGACGAAAAAAAACAACTTAGGCCTTCAGCCCTAAAACACGTGTCTTTATTTTTTTTATTTTTTTGAGAAGGGTAATTTTTACCCGTCTCTATATCCAACCGGTGTCTTTTTATTTTATTTTTTATTTTTTTGAGAATGGTATTTTTTATCCAGCCTCTATATCCAACCGGATATATGTAAACTTTTTTAAATTCTTAGCTCTCAAATTATCCAATCTAAAATTCATTCCTATGGAGATTTGAACTCATGACTTTAGGATGCTACTCAGGTTACTGCAACACTATTCTACATGCTTTTTCCTTCAGCTCAAAATTTCTGCAGCCCCAAGAATAACTGACATTGTCTTCCCACCAAATTACATGATTATTAACCTCATACCAAAAATCACATGTCTACGCATATTAGACTTTGACCCAATTACACGAGTGTACGTATATTAGACTTTGACCCAATTACACGAGTGTTTTTTCATGAAGGCTAGCTGCGGTTATTTTTCCCCTTCTTTTGTTTGTTTTTGCATCACCACGATTTTCTGTATTTTTTCCTCCTATATGATTTTGGATTTATGAGGGATGTGTGGTGTCACGAGGCACCACAGACAGCGGACGGGAAACCAGCCAGTTTTTTTTATGGGAAGTACTACCAGGAAACCAGCCTAGTAGTTACTCCATATATTATAACAGAGATGAAACAGGTTTCACAATATTACAGAAGTTGTAACCACAGCTTGTTACCAGTTGATAGTATTCATCATTTTTTTGTGAGGGATAACCAGCCATCCAGCCAAGACGCCAAACTTAAAAGAAAAAAATATATAATCTCTTATAACTCTCCAAGTGCAATAGTGATAATTAAGATAGCAGGCTACTACAAATAAATTAGACTCCAAGATACAAGACAAAACTTGGTTTGGCTATTATAATAAACCTCCGAGGAGCTGTCAAGAGAGGAAGATAAAAACGAAGGGCAGATAGAACTAGTCAGAGAGACCAGCCCTGCTCCTCAAGTGCTCCTTGAAGTCCATGATATCACCTTCCCACCTGGTCACCGCCTGCTTCTCGCACACCCAAATCTCTTGAGCAACCTGGTTGATAAGCCTGAAGTCATGACTCACCAGGACCAAACCACCGTCCCACTCGTTCAGTGCCTCAGCCAGAGAATCGATGGTCTCAATGTCCAGATGGTTCGTCGGCTCGTCAAGCAGCAGCAGTTGAGGCTGCCTGTAAGCCAGCCACGCAAAGATGACGCG